GCATGCCCTATGGACCCTTTCCCTTTACCAAACATTGATCAATTGGTAGATGAGACAGGGGGCTTTGAGATCATGTCCTTCCTCGATGCCTTCCACGGGTATCACCAGATCTACATGCACGAGGAAGATGCGGAAAAGACAACCTTCATGATACCCGAAGGCATCTTCTGCTATCTGGTCATGGCCTTCAGCCTGAAGAATTCGGGTGCCACTTACACCCGGATGGTGGCCAGAGTCTTTCAAGTCGTCCTAGGGCGCACCATTGAGGCTTATGTCGACGACATGATCGTCAAAAGTAAGCGAGCATCAAGCCATGCTGACGACCTCCGAGAGATCTTTGCCATCATGCAGAAGTTTAACCTTCGGCCGAACCCGAAGAAGTGCACCTTCGGCGTGCAAGAAGGGAAGTTCTTAGGCTACATGGTGAGCCAAAGGGGTATTGAGGCCAACCCTGAGAAAATCTAGGCCATCATCAACATGGAGCCCCCACGTAACGTCAAAGAGGTCCAACGGTTGACGGGCCGTCTGGCAACCCTCAACCACTTCCTATCCAAATCAGTGGAGAAATCCCTTCCCTTCTTCCAAATCATGAGGAAGATTGCCGGCTTCTGATGGACTGCTGAATGTCAGGTAGCCTTCGACGAGCTTAAACAATACTTGTCCTCACCCCATGTGCTCTCCAAGCCCAAAGTAAGGGAGACGCTATATCTGTACCTTGGCGTTAGCCCTGCGGCCATCAGCTCAGTGCTCATCCGGGAGGAAGACGACATCCAACGTGCCATCTTCTACGTCAGCAAAACCCCCAGGGAGGCGGAACTCAGGTACTCTCCCGTGGAGAAGACGGTACTAGCTATCGTTTGGACCGTCAAAAAGCTAAGCCACTACTTTCAAGCTGATCCGGTCCAGGTCCTCACGCACCAACCCCTCAGCGCTTTAATGAGGAGCCCCACCAGCTCCTCCCGAATGGTGAAATGGGCTATCTTCCTCACCCAATACAACATTGACATCCGACCGAGGCCTGCCATCAAGGGCCAAGCGCTGGCAGACTTCGTAACGGAATGCACTGTGAGGTCCGCGGTGGACGAGGAGCCCCCGGCGCCCCTGGACGAATGGTGGACCCTCTACACAGACGGCTCCTCGGCAACAAAAGCATGCGGAGGAGGTGTTGTTATCATCACACCCAAAGGCTTCCGGGCCTATTATGCCATCCGCTTCTCCTTCAAAGTTTCGAACAACGAAGCGGAGTATGAGGCCCTCCTCTGTGGCCTTCGGCTGGCAGCCAACCTCAAAGCAAGGATGATCCACGTGAAGTGTGATTCCAAGCTGGTGGTTGGCCAACTCTCCAGCGAATATGAAGCAAAGGAGGGAAGAATGAGGCAGTACAGGGAGGCGGCCAAGGAATTACTCAAGGTATTTGAGGCTCACTCCATCACTCAAATACCGAGGGCTCAAAATTCCGAGGCCGACATCCTATCCAAACTCTCGGATGAATCTCCGGAACACCTCTCAAAGATTGCAAGATAGAGGAACTCAGCCTCTCAAGCATACACGCTAGCCCCATCATGGAAATACACCAAAGGCCTGAAGATTGGATTTCAGACATCACTAACTCCATCACCACAGGGCAACTGCCCGAGGATGAAGCCCGTGCGAGACTAGCAAAGTTGAGGGCTTCCAGCTACACCATCGAAGACGGAAGGCTTTACAAACGGTCTTACAACTGTAATGCCCGAGATTAATTTAAGAGGATTAATAGTACTACTCATACCAACAGAGGTGCATCTCCTTTTAAGGGAGCTCATCACCTAAGAACTCCAAAGTTAAGCGTGCTTGCACGGGAGTAGTCTTGGGATGGGTGACCCCCTGGGAAGTTTCTCAGGGCGCGCACGAGTGAGGACAAAGTGCACGGAAAAGGCTAGTGGCGGTTTGTGAGGACAGTATTAGAGGTCAGAAGTAACTACCTCGGGTCCTGCAGGGCCGGGGTGTTACAGGTGGTATCAGAGCAACCTTGCGACAGTGTGCTGACCCGTTGGATATCGGGCGGTCACTTAGCGGGGCAAGATTCTGGGGGTTGATTGAGATTGGTTTAAGGGCGCAACGAGGACGTTGCGATCCTAAGTGGGGGTGATTGTAATACCCGAGATTAATTTAAGAGGATTAATAGTACTACTCATACCAACAGAGGTGCATCTCCTTTTAAGGGAGCTCATCACCCAAGAACTCCAAAGTTAAGCGTGCTTGCACGGGAGTAGTCTTGGGATGGGTGACCCACTGGGAAGTTTCTCAGGGCGCGCACGAGTGAGGACAAAGTGCGCGGAAAAGGCTAGTGGCGGTTTGTGAGGACAGTACTAGAGGTCAGAAGTAACTACCTCGGGTCCTGCAGGGCCGGGGTGTTACACAACGGCACGTTACTCCGGTGCCTTCATCAGGATGAAGCCGAAGTCGCAATGGAAGAAGTGCACACTGGCACTTGCTCAGCTCACCAAAGACCCTTCTCCATGTCCCGAAGGCTCATAGTCCAAGGCTATTTCTGGCCTACAATGGCCCGGGATTATGTGGATCTCGCCCGAAGGTGCACTGCCTGTCAACACTTTCAGAAGGCCCCCGGCAGACCAGCGGTCAACTATGCCCCAATCAGCACCGCCATACCCTTCTCCAGGTGGGGCATTGACCTTGTAGGCCCTCTGTCGAGGGATACTTCCAACAACAGGTACATCACCGAAGGGGAAGGCTGGGTAGAAGAACTCCACAACATCTTATGGGCCCACCGCACCATCCCTAGGAGGGTAACAGGCGAAACACCCTTCTCCCTGTGCTACGGGTTTGAAGCTAAAGCCCCCACGGAGGTAACTCTTCCAACCCGAAGGGTAGATCAATACGAGCTTGAGATCAACGATGCCAACATGGCCCTCGACCTCCACCTTATCTAGGAGCGCCGAGAGCAAGCCTTCCTAAGGGCGGAGAACTACCGAAGACAAGTGATGGGCTACATCGACGCCAAGGTCCGTTCCCAAGAATTCCAGGTGGGAGACTATGTCCTCCGAAGGAGGGAAGCTAGCCAACGAACTGAGGGTGGCAAAATAGCCCCAAAGTTTGAAGGGCCCTACATCGTCACAACCATCATCAAACCAGGGACTTACAAACTAAAACGCCCCAACGGGACTGAGGTCCATAGGCATTGGAATGTACACCACCTGGTCAAATTCTATCAGTAAGGTGTGAGTGGCCAAGCCCTCATAACTTACCAATGTATCATCCAACGGCCCAAGGCCCCTGTTTTTCAAGAATAAATACGTATTGAAGACACCAAAAGTACAAAGTACACAACACACATGAGCGGCCAAGCCCTCATTCAAGCTCCCGGCCGAAGGCCTTATCCCGAGCTGATTTTGTAAACAAGGCCCCTCAGCACCAAGTGCCGAGGAGGATCCTCGAATCAACTACAAATCGGGAGGAAAAACACCAAGTGTTTTCTTTCATTAAAATGAGCCCTCGGTACCAAGTAACAGGAACATGGATCATAACACCAAGTGTTTTGGATAGACGCCCTCAGCATTATGCTAAGGACAAAGTCGGTCCCCTTGGGGATGCAACTATACCGAAGGCGTCACCTATCGATGCCGGAGATACCAAGTGCCTCCGGCCATTTACAACTTATATGCAAATAAAACCCTTCCCTGAAACTCTTTCCGAGCCATTACCTCAAGGGAATGGCAGGCAACTAATATGCCCAGGATTCGACTTTCAAAAACGAAATGCTTCCCACCCCATTACCCCAAGGGAATGGTAGGCAACAGACTATGTCTCGGGCTGAGGGAACAACTTTCAAAACTGAGGCGCTTTCCATGCCATCCCCCAAGGGGAGGCAGGCAACAGACTATGTCTTGGGCCGAGGAAACGACCCTCAATCCCCTCAGAACCCAGAAGGTTAATCCCGAGGGGGGAGCCAACGGTTTATGCCGTTGGCTCCCGACAGACCAAGCCTTACCAAGAAACCAAGTTTCTTGAAGTCTTCCCTTCACTATTCCAAAAAAAAGGGTGAAGGGGAGTAGACTCAACGAGCAATCAATGAGTAAAAGCATTTTCAAATCACAAGACAAAACCCTTCGACACAACAGAAGGCCTCCTTCAAAGACATCCCTTGTTCCGAAGGCTCTTGAAGAACTCCCTTGTGCTAAAAATGGACTAAGATTGGGAAAGCTCACTACCTCCAGAAATATCGAGGGCACCTTCTCTCAAAAATGGGTTTAAAATTGCGAAGCCTATTGATTCTGGAGGCTACTATCCAACAAGTGTTCCTAAAATTCTACTAAATCCACATTAGGGTGGCCAACCCCGAAGGCTCCTGCTGTACATCAGTCTCCATCTCAGCATAAGTTGAAGGCATCTGCCTCTTGTGTATTAGGTTGGAATCGCTTAAAACAACATATTGGAAGGCAAAAATTGGCTATGTCCACACTCTGACAGCCTTCGGCGTTTCAACACATACCGAAGGTGTCGACTCTATATACGGGCCCTAATTTCCGAAGTCTACACTTTGGAAGGCTGAAATCATCTAAGCCTACAGTCTAAAAGGCAAAGCCGAGGGCTCCTATTGTACAGCTTTCGGGAAGTCAACAGAGATCGAGGGCACCTATTGTAATATATTGGACTCAAAATTCCTAAGTCCACACTACTATAGCTTGCAGCACTACAATCAACACCGAAGGCTCCTATTCTACAAGTGGGTCAGAGATTCAATATCTCCACAATTCACCGAAGGCACCACCATATTTGCCCAAGATTGCTATAAGCCGAGGGCAAGTTTGGGACCTCCTTAAAGCTTACTGTTTCACACAATCAAAGGAAGTGCTTAGCCGAGGGCCCGACCGTTGACATTGTTTAGAAAAAACTAAGTCCTGAATAGTTGGCCTTCAACCTAGTCATGATACAACTCATTCATTCATAAAACACAATGGAAGAAGTTGCACACATACAAAGGAAAAGAAAGAAGAAACGTGGAGGCATTCATGTATATCCAAGATCAAGATCAGACATCAGAAACAGTCATTACAAAGCATTCAGGGGCAAAACTTTATATTGTTAACACAAATGGTCGTAGCCGGAAGCTGAGAAGTTTTGTTACAAATTATTGTTCAGAGAAAAATACAACCAAGTACAAAATCACACATCGACGCCCTCGGTAGCAGCCTTCGAAGTCAAATCCTCCTCGACTTCCTCATCATCATCACCCTGAGCGTACTCGCGCATCAGTTCGGAGTCCTCGATCGTCGGCCTCTCTTCACCAGGGGAGGGGGACTCTAACATCTGGTTGCCGAGAGGGGAGGCCGTAGGCTTCTGGATCGAATGCTTCTGGGGGGGATGTTAAAATGCCAAGCCAGCCTCCAGTATATCAGGCACTGGGTGAAGAACTCACCCCCTTGGTAATATGAATTGCCTTTCATGGCCATCCACATCTTACCGGGGCCTTCCACCCAGGCGTCCACACTTTTCTCCACCACCGAGGAGAGCCACTCTTTCTTCTCCTCGGCCATCCAGCCCTCAGCCACAAAGGCATCAACAACGGTCTTCCTAGCATCAGCCACTGCCTCTCTCTTCGCCTGCTCGGCAGCCTCCGCAGCAACTTTTGCGGCCTCAGCAGCAGCTTCCCCGACTTCAGCTATGCCCTCGGCCCTAGCGGCCTCCACCCTTTGTTGCACCCCCTCCGTAGCCTCCCGAAGGGTCGGCTCAAGGTCAGCCAGCTTCTTCTGGAGGCTGGCATTCTCCCCATCAGCAACAACCTTGTCCTTCTTCAGCTGCTCCACCCTCAGGAGGTACTCGCAGAGGCCCATATAGCTCCGCAACAACAAAGACACAAGGGTTAAACACGTTACATACTTTACGCAATAACGAAGGCAAGGGAACAAGAGAAGGAAGAATGACTCACGGAGGCGCTACTCAGAAGAATCTTGGATTTGAGGGCACTGTCATCCAACCGGGAGAGCGCCATCCTATCTCCCGAGGGCAACACCTGGCTCAAGAACGTCGAGGGACATAGGGTAGCTTCCAGGACAGAGCTGCCCTTCGGCATAATTGCCTCCAGCTTCTCCCGCCTGAAGAAGGCCTCATTAACCACTTCCTGAGCGATGGGGGTTTGACCGGCGGGAGCGTCCAAGATGACCACGTCATTGGTGGCAGGTTGCTTGTCGGAGTCAGCCGCTTTCTGCCTTTTGGCCGAAGACTCAACTGCCTTTCCAGCCTTCTTCTTCTTTGAAGCCACAACGGCTTGAGATCCCCCGACCTCTCCAGCATCAGCAACAGCGGTGGAAGGCTCCTCGCCGCCCTTCTTGTAGAAGGCTTCCACCGGTTTTTGCCCCCCCCCCCCCCCCCCCGACCCTTTCTTCTTCTGGGTTTGGGCCTTGCCCAGATGCCTTTTCATCGCAGCAAAGGATGCCACGTCCATACTAGCACCTGCAAAACGAGTAATGGGTTAGATCGAGGGGTCAAGGCAACAACAAAGAAAAGACTATGCAAAAAATATCTAGGTACAAAACACGGGAGCCTTCGAGAATCACCTCCGGCACTCTCATAAACTCAATCTATGAGGGTGTATTTCTCATCTTCCTCCCCCACCAGCCTATATCGGCTGAAGCTCAGATCGAACAGTTTATCCGGGAGGGTGACCTCTTTGATTGTCATATGCTTTTCAGAACCCTCCGGCTTCTTGGCAAGTTCTTTCCCATTCTTCTCGAGAGAAGCACTTTCCACCTTCGGGTGCCTCCGGAAGTTATCACGAAGAAGTGCCGGGAAGGGATTCTCCGCCATGCGGATATAGCAGAACCTATCTTTCCACCCTTGATGGGAAGAAGGGACGTCATCGAATAGCCTGAACTCCGAGAGCTGGGTCAAGTTGGCGAAGCCTCCTGCGTTCGATTGCCCACCCCATCATAGGTTGAAAGAAAGGAAGAATTGGTCCAAGGTGGGTGGGACCCCCCGGCTTCGGCAGAGGGAAAGAAAGCCCACAATGTAGGAGTGGCTTGTAACACCCCCATTTTTCCCGTCCAAAATAATACTTGAAATAATAATATATTGATAACAATCTTGATTTATTCTTTAAAAATAGATAGAGTTTTGCAGCGGAAATATAAATAATTTATATTATGTTATTATTATTACTAATACTAATTAATATATAAATATATTAATAAATCTTACAGAAATAGATACTAGTGCAAAAACAGTAATGGAAAAAGGGTGTGTTACCGCCACACCCAGCCCTCAACTTGGCTGGATGTTAAGGCTATCCACCATGAGTTCAACCGAATTAAAAACTTGAATTCAAAATCTACTAGCATTATTTAATCTAAGTGAAGACTACACTAAATTCTTCTAAAGCGCTCTCCAGGTTCATCAAACATCATGAGCTTCGTATTCATCATTACCTGCACAAATAAAGTGCAGAAAACGAAACAAAGAAAAGGAAACAAAAATTAGCTTTAGAGCTAAGTAAGTACTACCCAACCCCGTAAAATAATCAGGTTTGGCAAAAATAGATTTTTCATATAATACTATATAAAAATACTCACACCACCGAAATTCTTTTCTAATCAAAAACATCATTTATCAACTTTATAATCTCAAATACCCGTATAATTAAAAAATAATATTTATAAGCTCCCAACAATTAATTAATATCTCAAAAGAAGTATCACTTTTCAAAAATAACTTTTGTAGCTAAAAATATCACCATTCCGAAATCAATGTCACTTTCAGATTCTTTTAAGATGGGCGAAACTCAAGATTCCTCGAGCCCAATGAATCGTTGTTGCGTACGACTCATCCCGGAATTCCGGCTCCCACCGACCACCAATTGGAAACTGAACTTCACCCTTAAGTGTGCACACCCCCTAAAAGGGATTCCAAGCCTTCCGAGTAGTAAGAAGTCCAAGTAGTTCGGACAACGTCCCCCTACCTCACAATGGGTTAGAAACCCGGGTAATTAGAAACTACTACCGCGGCCACCAAAGAACTTTTAAAGTTCTCAAAAGAAATACCGGGAATCTCCCGCCACCAATATTTACCGGGATTTCTCCCGCCACCAATAATCATCATAAACCTAAACTAAACCCGCGGTATATAGCTCTAACCACCCACACCTCGTGTTTCTCTCGAGATGTCAATAATTATTGAAAAACATTATTCCTTGGAAAATCATCTCTCTATATATAGTCTTACAGAATATCTATTTAATAGATACGTCCACCAAAAATTCACATTCATAAATACTCCAAAATTCTTTTACATAAAAATTCACTCCAAAGTCATACTAGGGATTAAATCCAATATACCCTCAATATTTCTCAAATTCTTAGTCACCCCAAATAGTACACATTCAAAATTCACACTTAATCACATAATGCATAATAAGCATATAATACGAGAAAACAATTTTGGATTGGCAGAGAAACTTACCTTAAGTCCTGATGCTCCTAGTTATCCTCCTCTAATCCGGTCTCTAGATAATCACCTTTTTAATTAAATATGATAAAATTAGTCGTTTATTCTATTTGTAATTACTTTACCCGATTTTCTCCTTTTATTTTATTATTCGCATTAACTTTGGTTAATCACTTTTTATTAATCAAATTACCTTATTAATTCAGCCATTAATTACAATATTTGAATTCTAATATTAAATAAAATATCCGAATATAATTAACTACAACATCCAATTTTTATTCAATAATCACCATTAATTTACTATACTCATAAATTATTATCTAATTACTTTATTTATATTAACCCATTAATTTATGAATTAAAATATTTTAAATATTTATATGAAGTCCGAATATCTAATAATTAATCATAAAAATTATTAATTGAATTAGTCCACTAATTACATAACTAAGTTATTTATTAAGTCTACATATAGTCAATTATTTATGCTAGCTAACCCATCCTTATTTTATTTTCCTTATTTTATTCCAACATCATTTTTAGTCCAGAATATTATTTTTCAATCTCAGTGATTTATTTATTTCACCATTAATATTAATATTTCCTTATTTAATTACTTAACTAGTTTTATATGGCCTAATTTAAATAAATAGACTAAGAATCGACTTTATAAATTAGTAACCGTCTATAACTATATTTTGGGTCTATATTTGACCTAGGTTGTCCAGATATCTATTTTATAATTATTTTCCATAATTATTCCTTTAATTTCATATATCTATTAACCGGTTCAATTACAATTAAATATACTAAATCTTAATTTTTATTAATTATAAATGATCCAAAAGGTCCTAGTTAGTCATATATTTATCCTAGTTTACTCCAATATTTATTTCATAATTACTTTCGTCATTTAGTTAATTATTTACTAAATGTGTATAAATTGGCCCAATTACAATTAAATCAATTAAAAATAGCTACAAATATTATCTTTCAATTCTGGTTGGTCCGAATATGTATATTTATACTAGGTATTTAATTTATATTTTTCCAGATTTTATTTATTTTATTTACTATTTTATTTTTAATTTTTATTAAAACTGGGCCGAACTGGCCCATTAAACCGACCCGGCCCAAGAGTTCTGACCCAGACAACTGGGTCATCTTCTCCAGGTCGATTCCGGCGACTTCGCCGGAAACTAGAAAACTCCGGCGAGCTATAACTTGACTTACAGATAACGGATTTCGACGATTCAAGTTGCAAAATGATCCTTGCGGCGAGACGAAGCTTCTCCACCCCTATCTACGTCAAAATATCTGCTTTTTATAAAGACCCGCTTCCACAACTTGCAACTCCGGCGAGTGATATCTCTCTCGTTTCACGACCGTTTTCTACGATTCTTTCTCCGTTGGATTCGTCTTACGAAGGGGAAGGTTTCTAAAGTGTTTTCAGGGTTTGGTTCTGGCTAAAACGAAGGGTCGAAAATTCTGATATATATATATACGTATATGTATATATAAGTTGCAGGTTTCGGGATGAAGAAAACACAAGTCCTAGGCTATTATTTATAGGCGTAGGTCGAGGGTTTTAGGCTGAGATGTTAGAGTTTGAGTTGGAGTTAATTTCGTTTGGCTTTGTACGTAGGACTCTCGCCGGTAGCTAGAGTTCTTCTTTGTTTGGTATATTATACGTACCTAGTATATACGTAGGTAGTTGTATATTTGGAGTCTTATAAAACATAGGAGTATATATATATATTATGCGTACGTAGGTATTTTAGGTTTAATAAATTATACTACGTATTATTGTACAGTCCCTCCGTATTATTTTAACTTCAAAAATTATACATAAAATTATTTTTATACGTTACATCTATTATCGGACCATTTTTATCTGACTAAAACGTCGTAAGCTTGGAAATTTTTATCTGGTTAGAATGTCACAACTGTTGAATTTTTGTCTGACTTAATTAATTATAAAAATGTTATTTTCGTAATATTTTATCTGACTAATTAAAATTATTTTTATTTTTATTAAAATTTTTGAAGTGTCACATGGCTGTTGGGTGTCGACTGACAGGGAGCCTGCTTCACATACCTCAAGTACTTCAACAAGAAGGGGTTGAGCGGAAACCGGAGCCCCAATTCCACATACAGGATGTGGACGGCGAAACATCCCTCGGGCGCTCGTAATAGCACGTCATCTGGCCCCGGTTCCACCACGCGCGCCGAGGGGGCTACGAAGAATTGTGTCGCCTGATACTAAGCATCGGTTGCTCTCGTCTGCACATCCAGAGCTGTGGTATTCTGGAAAGAGTGGCCTTCATGGATACCCACCGGCTGGCCAGCGTCCACGGCAGCTGACTTCTTCTTGTTCAGGGCAGCCCTCGACTTCTTCTTCCCCTTTTTACCCGGGGCAACCCTAATTGGTTATGGATCGAGGGGCCGGGAGCTGCTAGCCTCACCGGCATTGCGCGGGGGAAGGATGGCGACAGTGCCTCTCTGCCTCTCTTTCTCTTCCTCTTCCTCCGCAGCCTGAACAGCAAGGGCCAGCTCCTCGTCCTCGTTCACTTGTTCAAATTCTTCAGCTTCGGCCTCCGCTCTAAGGTCCTTCTCCACCTCCATGGAAACAACGGAATCACTGTTCGACGGGGCCTCCTCATTTGCTGACCCCTCATCGGTCCATGTCTCGGATTGTACCGAGGGCTCTCGGGAAATGTCCTGGGAGTCACTAGCTGACGACATCCTTCAACAATGATACAGGGAAGTACAAACAACGACAAAACCTAAGGCCACTAACACTAGATCTAAGGCTTGGGAAGCAAAAAATGCAAGAAAGTACCAAGAACAGAGAAGAACTGACCTCGGGGATCGGGGTTTGATCGAAAGAAACTTTCTCTCTAGAAAATTTTTGCCAGAGTTTCGCTACAACAAAATCGCACAAGGAAATGGGTTCTGGCCTTTGGGGGTATTTATAGCCTCCCCATTTCAGGCCTGGGCCAAGAACTGGGCCCCCGGGTATGAAAACCATCATTACAAACTGCCCCCTCAGCCAACCGGTGACACCTGCCCGGAGACAGCCAACGGGTACGCGCCACGTGGACGCCTTCTCCAATGGTCATATCCCAACGGCTATTTTCGAAACACGGAGGTGCCCTCAGCCGCAACTCTTCGAGCAAATAACAACGCAAGCCCTCGGGTTAACGTATTCAAACCCCTTCACCCAGGGTTAGCTCCCAGCAGGAAGATCAGTGACCCCTCGGGAGCCCTCAGTCCTCGATACCAGGAGAACCGGGGGACTCCCCTCGACAATCCCCAGAATATTCACTCGTACTTATCAACTACGAACATCCTCGGAGGAATGCTCTCGGCAATTACCCCCATCGGGCCACAAGCAGCTTTCGACTTCTCAATACCAGAGCCCTCAGATCACGAATGGCCCTCGGCCTCAACATTGTCCTACATCTCAGACCAAGGGTTTACCTTTTTTATTCATCATTGGGGGTATCCGGTGCACTCTTTTTCCCTCATTAGGATTTTTCCCACAGGGTTTTTCCTAATGAGGTTTTTAACGAGGCATCCCCCAAAATGAAGCAAAAAGTATCAGCCCTAGGCTCTCTACTGAAAATAGGCACTGCAGAACCCCTTCGAGAAAAATCACAAAAATGTTAAAAGTTTTCCCAAAGCATCAACATAATGTGGGGGACTGATGGACTGCCCTCGGCAAATCACGCAACACAGAACTCTCACAACTTTACAAACTACGACGAAGCAAGCAAATGTAATTACTCCTTTCCCTTCAAGTACCTTTCGACAAAAGGAGTGAGGGACTCCTGATGGAGTATATGGCCCAGGGACCCCTGGCCCACAGACTCCTACCACTCTAATAAAGGCCCAACAGGCCCAGGAAGCACAACACGCCCAAATCACAGTGACCCAAGTGTCAAGAAGCCCAAGGTGTACGTACGGATGCCTTTCGGCCCCATGGCCGAGGGCTCCAAAATCTCACAGGACAACTGATTTTAGGCATACAAAGCTACTGGGAGAAGACAGCAAAAACAGAAGCCTTCGGCACCTACAGCCCTCGGCACATAGAGGCCCCCGACCCATAGGAGACTTCGGCACAGTAGGTACAACCGAAGGCGTCCTCCTCGACAGAATCTCCTCCCCACATGTGCTGAATCGCCGTACCAAGTACAACCGTCGCATCCAAGCACCGCATTTAATGCGGCCACATGCGAATGCCGGTGCCACCCCGATTGAGGTGACCCTCAGCCGTCATATGTTTGACACGTGTCCCGGTCTAGCATTTATTGTTGCTATAAATAGCAGTCCATTTCCCCATTGTAAACACACAACAATTCATACTCGAATATATACTCTATCTCTTACTTATTGCTCTGACTTCTCTCTATTTATTCCCCGAAATAACCCATCGGATAAGCTACCCCCGGGTACACTATCCATCACATAACTATCAATATATAAGGAAAGATGATAGGTATTATATATAAGATATTAAATATATTACCATATGTACGCAACATACACGTATCAATATGACTTTTGACATATACAAAGTATTAAGTATTACATATATTAAACATATTAATTAAGGCAATGAGTAAAGCACACTTGCAATACCATTTATTCCTACTGTGGTAAAGCATTATATTTCAGCAATATATTGTGATACATACGGCCAAAAAATTCTTTGAGCAAATATTAATTCACAGTTCACAAAGCTGACAAAAATATAGTATAATACCAATTTGTCAGATTTGGTTTATAACAAGGAATCTTACCATAATCTTATCATCTCTATTTCCATAACCATTGACTCCCTAAAATCTGTCCTAAAAACAGTCCTGCACGAACCAATTAAGTTTACAATATCTATCCAAAAAAAGACATTGCAGCAATTAAGTTTAAAACCTAAACAATTTATACCTATATATAAGCAACAACATAAGAATTCATTTCACCCCATCAAACTCTTACACACTTCATATTAGTAAATTATTTTTGGTCTTCAATTAACAATGTCGATTAAGACGGTGCATCTAGATGAAATTTAGCCCGGATCTATTGAATGGAGAGTCTGTGTTCCTATAATTCGGATGTGGCACATTCCAGATTTCAAGAAACTGGAAATTGTTGATTCATTGGAGATGATCTTACTGGATCAAAAGGTAATTTACATTTAATTTATTAGTTGTGATGTAAGCCCAACATTAATTTATGCTACACTTTTGAATGTAACATTGTGTTACTTTAATGTAGAATATCAGGATGCATGTTACTGTGAAAAAAGCTCTACTTTCAAAATTCGAACCACTTTTACAAGAAGGGGATGTTTATTACTTTGAGAATTTATTGGTTGCTATGAATGACTCGAAGTCCAAAAAACACACTAGCCACAAATATCGTCTCAATTTTTTGGGAATAACTAGGGTCGGGAACCTGATACTGAGCAGTGTGCCTAAGCATCATTTTAACTTCGCTAGCTTCAGTGATATTTTGGATGACAAATATGAGAGGTCATATTTCGGTAAGTCTCAAACTTATATGAGGCGTTGAATTTTCCCACCTTTGGTTATTGTAGCATTTCTTTTCGTATGGCTGCTCTTTTCATACTTAGAGGGGTAGAATAGTGAAGTTCAGCGCCTTTACATGGTGTCCTAATTTTCGTGCCCAAGTGCATTGATGGAGTATATGGCCCGGGAACCCCCGGCCCACAGACTCCCACTGCTCCAACAAAGGCCCAACAAGCCCATAAAGCATTGCAGGCCCAAAATTATAACGCCCCAAGCATAAATCAACCCTCAAGGCATACTGGGGTGCCCTCGGCCCCCTGACCGAGGGCTCCAAACTATCACAGCGTGGATATTTCGAACAAACAGAGGAACTGGGAGAAAACGGTGAAAATAGTAGCCCTCGGCATCTGGAGCCCTCGGCATTGGGGGTGCCCTCGGGTTATGAAGCCTTCGGCCTGTCATTTTCAGCCGGAGGCACCTCAAACGACAGGATCTCTTCTCCACTTGCGTCTGAATCACCGTACCAAGTACGACGTCACATCCAACCGCTGCATTTAATGCGGCCACATGGGAGCGCCAGTGCCACCCCGATTGATGTGACCCCTCGGCCGTCGGATGCTTGACACGTGTCCCCGTCTCGCATTTATTGCTACTATAAATAGCACCCCATTTACACGTTGTAAACCACGACATTCATACTGAATACACTCTCTCTCTTACTTACTTATGCTCTGACTTCTCTCTAAGTTATTCTCAGCAATAACCCCTCGGATAAGCTACCCCCCGGGTACACTATCCATCATTTGGTGCTCTCGTTGAGAGGTCGAACTATCAAGTAAGAAACCCTCCCCCTTCGCTAGACACTAGCCCTCTACCAAAATGGTGAGAACAACACGTGCCAACTCCAAAAACGTAGAAGACAAGAACCTGGCCCTCGGCGACGTCAACGCCCCCGAAGCCTCTCACAGGGCTCCCGAGGGCGGTGTCATCGCTGGGCTGGAACAGGCGGCTGTCGACCTACGCCTTCAGATCCAGCAAAATGCCCCCGATGCCCGCCTCGGCATCGAGGCCAAGAAGAAGAACCGGAGCGATGACCAAATT